AAAAATAAAAACTATAAATTAATAAACTTTTTTATATATCCTAGTTATATTCCAAACCTTCTGGGGCTCTAGGTAAATCTTTTTTCGACAATAATGACCCACTGATGCCAGAAAACGAGGAGACGTATGCAGAATACAGAGAGACATCCGGGCGCTTTTTCCTCGATCCGGGACATTACATTCTTGTGCCAACAACGCAGATGCCAAAATTTGAAAGAGAGTATCTAATGAGACTCTTCTCTGTCTGCAAAATGGAATGCATGTAAGTCTACAGGGAGTTAGGAATGGATAGTGTTTTTCATTAATTAGAATAACAGTGTCGTCTTAAATTCCTAGTATATCGATTACATTTTGATGAATTTGTTTTGTACTAACTGACACCTTACATAATGAGAAATAACTGACGAAATGTACTTTTATTATTTCAGTCCTATTGCAAATTGTTTACCATGGACGCACTGATGTATATATGTTACCCTCCAATTTGCTTGTCTTCGGACTTTTCTGATGTGACGTCACATATTGAGCAAACTTCACATTCCAAATATTGATGATTATGCAACATTTTTCCATGTGTGTCAAAATGTTTACCAATGTGCAATATGAATCTGCTGTCATACAATTTACAATCTCATTACATTTAATTATCTTACATTCCTCATTCTGTATTGTAGTATTTGATAGAAATCAAAGTTCACTCATTTCATTCAGTACCTTATCATTAAGAACCTATCACTATATACAATGTAAAAAATAATTCTGCCAAACGAATCATTAAATCATTTCAATCTCTCATTGCTAAGAAACCTGCGACATTCTTCTCAACAATTTAAAGCTATGCACTGAATGAGACTAATCAATAAAAAATTATACATATCGACTTTGTCCCTTTGCCCTTCTATTGCTTTCCATAAACGTTGTATTTCACCATTGTACATCGTAGGTTGCACAATTTATCTCTCCTTACCTTTTAATTTGCAACTAGGAACAAATTTCAATTTATCCTTTTTTTCAAATAAGAAGTCAAGAAAATTTTGATTTCATTCGGGATATTAAAAAGAACTAAACCTAAAGCATAAACCTTAGAGAATCCTTATAAGAAGTGTAAAGACCGTAAAAACTTATTGATTTATATTTCACTCAAATTTGATTTATATGATTAAGGAGTATGTCAAGACTCTTGACCATAATTTTTAGGACAATGTCAAACAGATAAAATGTAATCTCGGTCACAGATTTGAAATGAATGAGGACAATATTAACTTGGTCACCATAACACATATTTTTACTAGTTTTTTGAAAATCTGATAACATGTAAAATATATGTCATGATGGATACTGTGTTCGAATAAAATTTTAATTCTAGTATTTGGTCATGAATTACAAACAAAAACTGTTTTAAAAATCAGCTTCTTTCAAAATTTTGTTATTGAATGCGGTCTATCTTTACGCTGATGATAACATTGTGTACGTTAAATACAAGTATATCAACTAAAAAACACAAATGTTCTTAATTAATATACTCAGTACACATAATATAAGATATGTATCTACAGATTGAAAACAGTTAACATACATGTATATGTGAGACTGCTTGTATATCAGTTGTGAGTCCACTCAAGCAATGTGTGTGTAAGTCTACTAATTGCACTTTAAAACAGAGTGCAGAGTTAAAACTTATAAATGTCTTCTAAAAAATGATTTTTAAATTATATTTGTATAGTTTTCCTTGCTTCAATTGAATAAACATAGATATAAATAATGCTGTTTTGTTTGTTTATTTTTATTCTACCTCAGCAAAGGATTTACCGATTTATTTTTGCTAACTATAGTTTATATTGATTCGTATTTACATTTCATTTTAAATTTCAATTATACTCAAGAGACTTATGTCGATCTCTACACAAAGTTCACATGTTAAAATAAATTTTTCCATGAGAAGAAAGTATATTGACCATTTACGGCATGTTGCTAAAATAAGATTGCAGTGCCTGATATTTTACACACCATTTACTGTACTAAAATGATTTTTAACTTTTGGATTATATTATTTGTGATCAAAAAGTGATTACTCTGTTATACACTCAGCGTATTTGGAAAAAAAATCTTAAGCAAAAGTAGACATTTAATAATTGTTCGAAGAAGCAAAATCTTTCAAAATTTGAATCTGGTCGAATATTGTGTATGAAAGTAGATATATAAATTCATGTACAATCACCGAAGGTTTGTGTAGATTGTTGGATCAGTTCTTACCTATAAAGGGGTAAAATATATTAATGGATACACATCGAAACATCAGTTCACCGATTATATACTGATAAGGATAGTCTTTTCTCAGATTGTTTTTCAATATAATCACGAATCACTTTATTCATACGATTTAACATAAAAAGGATAAGAACCATACAACGACATCCATCTATCACGATTTTTATATTATGATAAATCTTGTTTATTTATGTAGTTACTTTAATGTACTCACCGTGATTTTTTGATTTCATCTGTTGAAAAAGTTGTACATGATTCAGTGGTATTTAGTTTAAGCAAGCAATCGACGGATTCCATGTTATTGTGTAATTTTTTCAAAGTCATATACACTGTAAAAATTATTTTGTGAAATACCAACGACCTTTTGCCTCCAGGTATTTACAATGTTCATTTTCATTCCTACGTCAATTCGATATATCCTTTTGAACTCGATCGAAGTAAAGAAACAACATAGTTTGACACATCTGTTTTATATTCGGATACTTTACTACACAAAGACGTAAGTGGAAACCTAACAAAACTTCATGATGACCACGTTGGCTTCAACTTTTCTGTCGCCAACTTTACTTATTTATGTAGCAGTTTACTCTTATCACCTGTATATGGACTTAATGTATATCCAAAAGTTGATTCGATACACTAATGCATATGCTACATGTACAAACATTTCTGAAACGAGTTAACCTATTATCAAACAGGTCGATGACAAAAGAAATCCGAATAGTCTCCTTTCAACTCAACATTTTACAAGTTCTCTGGTTGATACAGTGACCTCGTCAGCAAATTATTTTAACCTAAAGTTCAATGCTGACGTATGTTTTTCATACAAATTGATAAACCATTATTTATACACTGAATTGTCTACGTGTGAGTGGCGTACATGTAAAGCTCACTCTTTCATGGCATCTGATTCGACTGCTAATGTTTTAAGACTTCCCTGTTTGCTCCGCTCTCAAATAGTATTGTTTATATTGGACTACGAAGCCTAATTGTTGATTTTATTGAATTAGAATAAAACATTTCATCCTCTTCATATATTTACCAATGAACTAATACTAATTACTGAATTTTAATACTTTCTCGTATAAGTTCCAATGAATGAACAAATAATTTGGTTTCTTTTGAAAACTTTTTTTCAATCCACAAATTGACGTATTTATGAAGCTTTCCTTCCTAGAAGTTCATTTAGAAGTTTAGCGATATTTGAAAAAATAACTGAAGTTTTATTCCATATGTAACTTGTTATACGAAGCCCTACTAAGATAATTGACAGGGTTGGCACCTGACTCTTCCTTTTCCTGAAGCATTTCTTGCTAGGACCTAGAGGTGCGTCATTGAAACTGAAAATTTCAGGCAGGACTTCTGTATTGTTTTCTCTGCAAATTGAATAAAAATGAAATTGATATTTACTATGTTTATTTCGACTTTGGCCAAAGAAACAAATATGTAATGCCTTTACCTCGGGATTTTTTTCCAATAAAACTCAATTTTTAAAAAGATTTCAACTGTTTTGTCTCAAAACATTTTAAAAATCTTAAAATGATTTTTAAATATTTGATAGTTGTTTATAAACATATACGTATAAGTGTTTAAATATTTAAAGTAAATACGCTGGTAAAAAGTAAAAACAAGGCTTTGATCGTTGCCTCACCTCTTAAACCTTTTTATTATCAGCAAAGCAAGCAATGCGAGAAACCACAATGAAAGACCAATCAGAAATGGTGACAAATAGATTCTTCCTTTTCCTGAAGCATTTTTTGCTAGGACCTAGACCGCATCAACTGGATACAAAAATAAATTATTTAGAATCACTTAATGAGTAAAAATTAAATTAACCATGTATACTATTATGTTCAGACATTTGTGCATAAAACAAATATGAGTTTAGCGAACACTCTTAAAGATAAGACTGCAACTTTTATTGTTAACTTGTTAAATAATATTATTGAATTGGAGCATGCACAGGTGCAAATTATCTTTTGATATTTTATAAAATGTTTGTAAAATCGACATTAATTTTTTTAGCCTGGTTTGGGGTTGGGGGGAGAGTACCTGAGACCTCTGGTTACCTTTTCAACTTTTTTGTGCACAATATTCTGGAAGAAGTGAAGCAATATTTTTGTCTTCGGAAGATTTCAATTCAATTATATTTTCTTTCAGTTTAGAATTAAGTTTTGAAATTTGCAATTTTCTTTTACCTTACACCTAAAGGCATTGATCAAAATTAACATACTTAAATTAAGAAATTCCTGTTTGTACGTAAGTTTATTGCTTTAACACAAAAAGAATCTAAATCATTAATGAAACGGAGCTTAAAACCATAAAAAAATCATTTAAAGATATTGAATATTATTTTTTTTAACATAATGGTTTGAGATTTTATTGGGACTTACAGTTAGAGCACTGTCTTCCATAGTAGCCTGTGTCACAGTCACATATATAGCTATTAAGTCCATCTGTACAGGCACCGTGCTCGCAAGGAGAACTCGTGCATTCATCAATATCTTTAAAAATATTCTTAAAATTACATAAACCTTAAGATCTGGCAAATTGAAACTGAGCGTCGAAAGATAGTTTTCAAGGAAATAATAAATATATACGTAAAAGGTGAAAAAATATAAATGATTATAATATAAAATATAAATTAAAGTGAGAAAAGTTTATTCTTTGTATATTCTGTGTTTATTGGATGGATATATGTATATTTATTTATACATGACAATAAAAGTGGTTAAACATGTTTACAATCGATACATGGCTTTACAGAGAGGTTTTCTTTAGTAACATGACAAAATTAACATATCTTTATATGATTCAAAATTTTCTTCTTTAAAAGCATGTAATGAGTAGGGGAATCCTCACGCACCTGTTTCACAAATGACTCCAGTATATCCACGTATACATTGACAGATGTATCCATTAACTTGATCAGTACAGTTACCGTGAATACAGGGAGAACTGGTGCATTCGTTAATATCTAAAAGAAATAGGTATGTTTAAAGTTTTATGATATAAAAAAATAAAGGGTGTAAAAGAAGGTTGGGGAAATCGTATGAGATAAGAAGTGTACAATACACACCTATTTCACAATTTATTCCTGCATATCCTGCATAACATTGACAAGTGTATCTGTTTACATGGTCTGAACAGTTACCATTGGTACATGGTGAACTTTGACATTCGTCTACATCTGTAGAATGAAGTTATAATTTGTACTTTGTCACCAGTTTTCTTTAAAATAAGATTATATCACAATTAAGTTTTGCATGAAAATCAAAGCAAAGTTTCCTGTACTTAACATTAGCTTCAATATGGAATAATGATCGAATTGACAAATAATAAGTGAGCATGCCTAAGATCATGAAACATCTTAGTAAGCTTCAATAAAAATTTTCATCTTGAGGACTGCTCAAAATAAAAATAATTCTTCAATATAGCATCACCGACAATTTGAAAATAAAATACTTGTGAGTCATTGGAGATCTTAAATCAGCAAAGATGTGCTTACCAGTTTCACAATTCTTTCCAGAATACCCAGACAAACAATCACATACATAGCTATTGACATGGTCCGTGCATGTGCCAAATATACATGGAGAACTCGAACACTCGTCTATGTCTGAAGAACATAATTATACGTTATTGACATACAGAATAAGAAGTAATACAGAGAAAAAAAATATGAATGGTTCTTCACATAAAGCCATCTATGGAATACTAACTGGTGTTATTTTTAGGTCATTGTTTTTACGCTTAATTATATATAGTTTTCCGTCGATCACGATAAGGAGCGTCTGTGTTAGGTACATTACCGAAAATATTACAGACTTTTCGTCTCTCGGGTAATTTGATACACAATCTATCACAAAGTGAGATGATGATTTTCATACTTATTGTTCGGTCATCATATGGCATTGATTTGTCTATGGATTTTTCCATTTGTCCGATCATGACAAAGAGCACACGGCAGTTGTGACCTGTGGACAAGGGCTGCTTATTTCTTCATAGCATCTAATCCCACCTTTAATACTTTCAGGCCTAATGAGATCCGTGTTTACTCTATTCCTTATTTGTTTTTAATATTTCAATGAACTATTGAGCTTGATAATTATTCGTTATATCCACATTCCATGAAGCAGAAATTATTAAAAAGAATTATCAACGAAAAGATCTAGAAGAGTTGAGACCTTAAATTCATTTTAACAATACCCCTTTGAACTCGGAATAAAAGACATCTGACACATCTCTTTTATATTTGTTTGTTTACTTTCCTTATTTATCTAGCATATAGCATAATCAACTGTATATGGATTTTTATCTAGCATATACCATTGTCATCTGAATATATGGAATTTTGTTCCAGATATATATATAAGTTGATGGGAAAACGTCAACATTTTGAAAATGTTTGGTCAATTACCTTCTTTGCCTGTAAAATTTTAAGATCAAATGGCGATTTTCATGTAATCTTTAAGCAATTTTTTCCACATCTAATTGTTATCAGATTTTCCATTTACCCGATCATGACAGAGTATTTGATGGATGTTACGTGTCAGCAAGGGATGCTAAATTTTCAATAGCCTCAGATTCCATCTCTGTTTTCAGAGGTCCCTGTTGGCTCTGCTAATAAATTTAATGTTTTGGATTTTTGAGAATGACCACTTTTGAAGTCATCACATTTCTTCATTTTTCACAATCCCACTGTGGGATGTAGAGACCGTTTCTTCGGACGAGACCGTTTAAAGCGAGTTGCTATGTCGCAGTTGGTGCTGGCACGAAAAAGATCCCTCCCTGCTACTGGCCCTGAATGCCGAGTATAGGACAAAATTTGCAGCTCTTCACCAGCAAGTGGTGAGGTCTCATATGAGTGAAAAATTCTCGAGAGGGACGTTAAACAACATATAATCAATACTATCAAGCAATTTCACATAATTAAAAAAACAGTATAAGAAAGTAAAAAGCAAATACAATAAAATCATCGAATGGGAAGAATCGACTGTGTTCTCGCTGCAACAGACATTTTAACTCTTCAAGTGCGACCAAATTCTTGATGATATAGGTTGTTAGAGAAAAAATATCGGCGTTAATTGACTGTTTTTTAGTTTTTTAGTTTTTAAACTCCCCGAAAGCATAGGAAAAGATTAACCTGCCCTTTTTCAGTTTGTTCTAGGGATTTCTTTATCATATGAAATTCCTTAATTTACCACTCGGTTGTTATCTTTCTTTTATTGTATTACTGTACTCATTGTCAAGCGTGTTTCTAATTCTGAGGGTAACTTATCTTCGCTAGCAAAGATGTGGGTAACTTTTGCTTTAATTTAAATTGCAAAGATGTATATCCATCCTGACAGTGACATGAATAACTTTGCACTAATCAGAAATTTTTCTTTAATTTAAATTGTTATACTTAATTAACATTAAGTAATACTGACCAGTTTCACAAATACGTCCTGTATATCCATCCTGACAGTGACATGTAAAATGATTAAGGTGGTCGGAACAGTTTCCATGGATACATGGAGAGCTTTGGCATTCGTCAGTATCTAATGAGATTTTAAAAATAGAAATTGATATTATACTACCCGTGTTTTACCTTGTATATAATCTTACTGTACTAAGACCCACTATGACGTCAGCGACTCGTTGGACGCGCAGTGTAGGGAAACAGAAGAGTGGATCAATCTATTCCGTAATTTGAAAATATTTGCGAGAAAGTTTGAATGTTTTTAGATATTTTGATACAAGATGGTGAACTGAAACAAACAGTCATTTTTTTCTTCCAAATACTGTGGTTTCAATCTGGTTTGTACATATTTTATCAGAGATTATGACGTAATCAAACTGAGTCACGTGACCATACATCCTTCGTCCCCTTAAACATTCTGAATGAATTTTAAAGACAATATAAGATGAGACATAAAAAACCATAAAAAGTGAAATGAAATGGTTAATTGAAAAAATTACCATTTTCACAGTTGACGCCTGAGTATCCAGGGTCACAGAAACATTCATAATACAGGTATTCATTTGAACAATTTCCATGAACACAGGGAGAACTGGCACATTCGTCAACAGTGTCTGTATAGATTGATGCAAAAACAATATACAATGTGTGTATTTAGTTTACACTTAATAATAATAATAATAGATATAGTATATAATACAAATGAACATTTCAGATCACATTAATCTATGATAGTTTAAACTAAAGTTGCAATGCATAACTTGCCTGCATTAGAAATCTTATTTTGGTCCACCCTAAATACATACTCTCCTGGGATACCAATGTTTGACATTTGAGGAAGATTTAAGACAGCGTCTGTTCTTGATCCAGTTACGGAGTAAAAGTTTGTGCCATCTCCAGCATTAAATCCGACCTACATTGAAACAACGCCTGGATAAACTACTATAAAACGATATTTAAATAATAATAATAGTAATAATAATAATAATAATAATAATAATAATAATTTATTATTATTTTAATTATAATAAATTTCCTATTCAATTTATTAAGGCTACCTGTGCCGAGACGCTCCAATTTATTTTATTGTAGTTAAAAACAGCAAAAGAATGAACCCCGTCAGTGATGAGAAGAAGTTGAAATGTATTTCCCTGAAAATGTCATAAAATTTATATACGAGGGACGTTCAATAAATAATGTCATCGGGGCTCGGAAAGAAACAATAGACGCTTTTTCATGATTTAGTCTTTATAATTTTACTTATTAATCTCTTTTGATTAAAATAGATGTCCGTTAAAGTTTTTATTTAATTTCTGATTGTATTTAGAACACATTTTTGGGTATGACCCTTAGTATACTGGAAAATAGCAGATCCAATGATTTCCTGGACTTGTTTTTTTCTTTCTGAAAGGTGGTTTTTCAAGTTTGGAAATAGAAACAAGTCAAAAGGTAAAAGATCTAGCGAATATTGTTAATGTGAAAAAATATTAACTTTCTTTTTATCCCCAAAACCCCTTTACTCTTCAGGGGTGCAGGGTTTGGACGCTGTTATGAAGAAATTTAATGTAGTGGATTCCTGATTCTAGGTCCTTCCTATAATAAACCTTTCGATTTTTTTGCAAAAAGATTGCTTTTTAAACTCCTCCAAAAATTAAACTGTCTCCCCGAATACGAAATTGAACAACAGTACCACTAATATTTAAGAAAATTGCATATAAATCTGTCTTTGTGTTCTTGCATATCTTTGCTCTTGTCGGACCATTGCTGTTTTTATCAAGAACATCTTATGGTAAATTTTGTATTGAGTGTTTTGAGCAATAGATTCATGTTCCATTATCTGTTTGAATATGAAACAAACTTGGATAACTACAGTTACTGATATTTTAAAATAATTGTTAAAACATTCCTACACGCTGTCGTTTTCACCCATTTTTCAAAATATAGGGTGATCTTTGAGTACCAAGCTTTTTCACCGTCAAACTTTTCTTAAAAACATTGAAAACTACTCCCGATATGATATATATCAAATTTGCTATGTGTCTTAAAGTCAGTCATACATCATCAGATATTATTTGTTGAAATTGGGCAAATAGTACATAAGTTGTTATAATTTTTGTTGGTAAGGACGGTACCCATTTTTGATGCCCATTATATAATTTTCTATTATTGAAATTCATTTGCTTATTTGTCTATAAAACAGGCATTGGTTGATGTAAATGTCACATATTTCAGTGAAAATTTCTTTGGGATTTTTAACACGTTTTACAGCAGCTTTAATGAAGCTTTTATTTTCACTCTAGTTTACTGATTCTTTACCATTCATTTATAATGCAGTGTCTCGAATAGCCCTTGTTTCCCAGCTTCTCACGGTGAAACTATGTGATGAAAAGTGTCCACATAAACTGATATCAAATCATTAAAGATTCAATAATGAGAGAAAGTCTAGCTTAATGCCATATGATTTCTATGTTATATGCCATCGAGCTAATGACATTATTTATTGAATGTCCCTCGTACATGTACTGTATGCGTACTTAAAAAATACTGTCATATTTTTAGTGGCTAAGGCGCAGCTATTGATGCTCTAATTCATGAAGAAATTATAATGCATATAAATACAATACGAAACTTCAAGAATACGCCAACAACTCTATAACCAGTGATTGCGCTTAATTTTGAATACGTCAAATGATGTATGCGCACATTATTATTGTAATTCTTTTTTTTTTAAATGTCAAAACGTGTGCAACCTGGTTACAGTAAATTGGACCAGAAGCATCGCATCTGTAAGATGATACATCCTCCCATGTAGCTACCAGCATCCAAGACGCAGAAAAAGTCGCGAGGTCTGGGAACAGAGAGCGAACTTTATTCGTCCCTTGTTGTAATGTTGCTGAATCCGATGTTGTACGATACCACAGGTGACCTCCTTTGCTTGTGTCAATGTCACACCAAAATGGTGCAATAATTCTGTGAGAGCCATTAATTGGGAAGGGTTCGGAGGAATATTGACTTAATGGAGTTTGGAATGTGACGTCACCGTTATTGTTCACCTATTAATAAAATATCTTACGCTTAATTTTTATCTGTCGAACTTTAAATATTTATACATAACAATTTGATAAAAGTTTTTAAAATTACAACATATTTCGACAACACAGCCAACATGATAAATACTACATATATTTTTAAACAAAATGACGAAGTTTTATCCATGAAGCAGTATAATTTTATGTTATTGTTTTACATGTGGGAAAAACATTCACTAAAATGAGCATTCAAAGCACACATAATAGAAAAGATCAAATTATCCGATTCCATAAAGAAAATGATAGTCTTTACTTGAAATTCAAAGAAAGACAAAGGCTTAGTTGATAATTTCTCAAATTTAAATATGTATATATAATATTGATTAATGAAAATAAATAAGTCGTGTAACAAAGTCAAATATAAATATGGTTATATAATAATAATTTTTTTCCTGATGATTCAATTCAAGCAATATCTTCTCATTCAGAAAAATCATTACTATTGCTCAGGCAGCATTATTTGTTTCATTACAGGATATTAAATCCATTTGAAAAAGAAATTGCGCATATTTACTAAAAATAAGGACACGCCTGTATTTAGCTTAAGCCATTTTGACTGATTTTTTCATGAACAAAGTATGATATATAAAAATATATCTTTTGAATGAACTCAAATTTCAGTAATGTTGATAAAGGTTTCCTGGTTATATAATAAATACAGCAATTTAGAGAGAATGACAATCCTTCAGTAACTGATACTTACAAATAAAGAACAAAAAGACGATCCAAAGAAAGGAAATGGTACGGATGTTGTAATGTTTGATGTATAACCATCATCAGTTGACGGTAGTTCACGGTCACCGGCAGCCAAACCAAACGGATAAAACTGATTAAGTGGGTAACAATTAACAAATTGACAAATGGCATTTATCATAAAAAATATACGTACGACTGATTTTGTTACTAACATTATTCAAGTCTCTTTCTCGTCTTGACTCCTCTCCAATGATTTAATTTTGACGGTTTTCTTCTTTTATAATAATGTACACGGACATGATTGCTCAAAGAAGGAAATCATTCTAAATATTGAGTGTATTTAGTTAAATATATGTCTGAGACATTTTTCCACCAAATAATTTACAAACATATATTTTGAGTTGTATTTGATGTGAAAGTTTTACATGTTAGAAACTACTTCTAGATTCGATTTATCCATGTTGTAGATCCCAGGTGAGATGTTTAAACTCAGAAACCCCCTACATTTTCTGGTTATCGAGTGTATGTTGGCTAGACAAAATTGTATTAGAACATATATACCTTAGAGAATTAACTGACGTGCCACTAATTGTTGATTTGTCACGTATCATAAAAATCAAAAGAAAACATCGTACTCAATTTTATTTCAATCAAGCACTTCTAGTCAAGTATTATATATGTAATGTACAAGGTTTAATTAAAGATAGATTGAAACGTATGCGTAGAAAATACCAATACATTGCTGCAGAATAAATTTAATATCAGTTGCAGAAAGCGTCCCATCTTGCGTTCCATCTTAACTGTATTGTAATGTAATGTGCGTTCCACGGAAACGCATTCTATTGTCTATAGGAATGTATAGAAATCGTTTTTGTGTGTTTCTTAAATCGCAAAGCGGCACTAAGAAAAAATTTAATCACCGGCATCTGGTCGTTTGCTCATCCTTTTTAATACCTTATATCCTGAATGGCACTTAAATCCCTCCTTTGATGTTTTGAAGGTCCGTGTTTGCTTTACTCCTAGTTTGTTATGTTTCATTGACTTTTGAGCTTGAATACTGTTCATTTTTACCATAATTTTCATCGTAAGAACTACAGTGGCTTCTAATTAAACATTTTACACATGTTTTGCTTTGTCTAATTCTTTTAAAAACAAGAATTAAAATTGACCTTCGACCAATTTAAATTTAAAATAGTCTTAAATTAAAATTGTCCAATGATTTATTTGTTACCAGTCAGTCATTAATGTATAATTCTAATAAATTACAGAAATGAAGATACGGATTGGAACAGTGTATAAATGTGTTCTTATCTACAGTAACTTGCAATTGGATTTGAACAAATTGCCAACCGGTCTTATATGCCAATAAATACTTTGAAATAAAATGGTGTATTTGTTATATTTGTTATAGGGTCCACTGCATTGTCCAGGACTGTACATGATCAGTGGAACCATGATGTTCAAATTTGCTCTTAGCACAGATTACCGTTATATCTTTTATTTTGTTTCGAAAAAAAATGCACACAAGTATCTCATGAATGACATTTTTATCTATTAAATATTCTTTTCGAAAATAGAGAAATATAGACTTAGCATGCTTACTCTATTTACTTAATACCAAGAGGTAGATCAGAGTAACATTAAGAGAAAATGCACTTCCACTTCATTACCAATTATGCACTCATCCCAAAGGAACCACTGATCCTGGGGCCACATATTTCAAAATTTTGCAAATTTTATCATAAAATTGTTGATTAATACCAAAGAGCAGATTTCAAAGCATTAATTTATTTTCAGACTTTGTACCCCCCCCATTCACCCCGACCCAGGGAGGGGGGCATAAAAAATAACCATTTTGCTAGATGCACCTTTCTTCATCGTTAAAATATATATTCTTGGATCATTGGCATGCGTAAAACCCAGGAGCTAAGGAAAGATTTTCAAAGAATTAATGTATTTTCACTACATAATCAATAGAGCCCCGTCCTAACACCAAAACCCATGACCCTGGGGCCATAAAATTCACAATTTTGGAAGAGGCACTCTTGCTTATCATAACTATGTACTAAGTTTATATTATACCCAGGAGCAGAGAAGAAGATTTTAAAAGAATTAATGCATTTTCACTATCACAATGATCATAACTATTTACTGACATAGTTTATTTAATACCCAGAAGCAGAGAAGAAGATTTTCAAAGAATTAATGCATTTTCCTATAACGCCCCACCCTAACACCAGAACCCCTGACCCTGGGGCCACAAAATTCACAATTTTAAAAGAGGCACTCTTGCTCATCATAACTATATTATTAGTTAGTTTATTTAATACCCAGAAGCAGAGAAGAAGATTTTCAAAGAATTAATACATTTTCACTATATGATCAATAGAGTCCTGCTCTAACACCAGAAACATTGATCCTGGGGTTATAAAATTCACAATTTTGGAAGAGACACTCTTGCTCATCATAACTATGTGATTGGTTAGTTTATTTATTACCCATGAGCAGAGAAGAAGATTTTCAAAGAATTAATGCATTTTCACTATATGATCAATAGGCCCCACCCTAACACCAGAACCCCTGACCCTGGGGCCACAAAATTCCCACTTTTGGAAGAGGCACTCTTGCTCATCATACCGTAACTATGTAATTAGTTAGTTTATTTAATACCCAGAAGCAGAGAAGATTTTCAAAGAATTAATGCATTTTCACTATATGATCAATAGAGCTCCGCCCTAACACCAGAACCCCTGACCCTGGGGTCATCAAATTCACAATTTTGGAAGAGGCACTCTTGCTCATCATAACTATGTGCTTGGTTAGTTTATTAAATACCCAGGAGCAGAGAAGAAGATTTTCAAAGAAATCATGCATTTTCACTATTTGATCTATATAGCCCCTCCCTAGCACTAGAACCCCTGACCATGGGCCATGAATTTCATAATTTTGGTAGAAGACTAAATGCTCATTACATTCATGCCAACAGTTTGCCTGCTTGATGTCCAGCAGTATAGAAGAAGATTTTTAAAGATTGCACTAATTTTAGTGGTTTTGGCCCCACCCCTCAGGCCCCAGGGGGGCGGGGACCATGAAATTCACAATTTGTGTTCCCCTTTACCCATAGATGCTTTGTGCCAAAATTGGTTGAAATTGGTGCAGCGGTTTCAGAGAAGAAGCTGAAAATGTTCAAATGTTAACACACGACGCACGACACACAACGCACGACGACAGACGAAAATGGATAGCAATAGGTCACCTGAGTAACTCAGGTGACCTAAAAAAATTATAGAAATGTCGTAGAGGCACTCAAATATTACAAGAATATATAAGGGCTATAAAATTATTTTCAGTTGTTTTGTGTACAGTGGAGAGTGACCCATCTTATGAAAAAGAAAAAAAAATCACGACACTTACCCACTACCTTTTTAAGAATTAGCTTAGTTAGATACATGGGATGAAACATATGGAGATAACGAACAGTATCTCAGATCAAAAGTCCATAAAACAATACAAAATAGGAGAAAAGGATTAGAAAATTAGAAATTATTGCACTTCAAACCTTTCAAGAAGTGAAGAAGACACCTATGCACTTCCGCATAAGACTCTTCTGTCTGCCAATCTCACAGGACCTGCTACTGTCCTCAGTTATAAATGATATTGATTTCCTTATATAGTAATATTGACTATATAATACAATACTTTAAAAGATGAATCATTATGGATTTTATGCTTTCTGATTTACGTCCTCTAGAGGATTTTTCACATATGGAGGCGTCATCACTTGTCGGCGGAGGGCTGCACATTTATACATATAAGTTACATATTTAAAAAACAAAAAGATGTATGCAAAATCAAATTTTAGGATTCAGGCCAATTTAATATAGAAGCCAACTCTTTCAGGTGGTGTCAATGTTCAAATTCTAAAATGCTTAAAGACAAGAAAATACCTTATGGAAAATCTTTTTATTGAAAATAAATATTTAAGAACGAGGCAATGCATCGCTGAATATTTTTATTGAGAATAAATAACGTTAAATAGTGCAATGCAGTATATGGTGCAAATATTTTATTGATTTTTTTTTTTGCAAATTAATAACTTAGATCATTCCCATGCATCTAAGACAATCAAAATAAATACTTTATCTTAAAATCCGATGCAACTTAAAACATTTTATTGAAATAATGAATCAATTACAATGTAAAACAGTGCAATGCATCATTGAACATTACAAATAAATTTATTTCAAATATCAATAAATTTAGGTTTATGCAGAACAACTTGAAATGAACACCCGTAATTGAAAACAATATGACAGAAATCGTTCAACAATATGCTTCATAAAGCTTTTTACATATAGTAGACCACACACATACATACAAACAGAGAGAGAGAGAGAGAGAGAGAGAGAGAGAGATGATTACATAATTATGGTACCAAAAGCAATGTTTTTATGCACATTTTCAAAATATTATTGTCTCTATTTCTCCTCAGGATTAATCTTACTTCCAAATTTCATTGAAATCAGTTTGGGCTTGTTCAGGATATATCTAAAAGATAACATAATAAAAATAGATTGACAACAAAGACAGAAAAACACAACATAACACCTTCACAAACACGTTGGATGAGGTACAGTTAATGTTTTATCTCGTCTATTTCACATACACTTAAAATCTTAGGCATATCTACACGTTTCTGATGAATTTTGCTTGTCTGAAATGCAGAACTATCTTTCATACGTTGTATGTTTTCCGGGGTATTGCTCGAAATTGCATTTATTTTTCCACTTGATTTAGTCAATTCTGTGATTCTTCGCCATAACAGATTTAAATATCCCATGAATGTAGGAAAAGTAGAGGAATTTTGTGTCTGTTTTCCAAACGATGTCTTACTAGGTCCTAAAGGTGTATCACTAAAGTAAATGACTCCAAACGTCTCACTTTCGCTGTCTCTATAATTAAAAGAAACAATTTCAATTGCTTACAATGTGCATGTATAAAATATCAATGATAAAGTTAACAAGTATGACAGCACGTAATATCAATTCATTTTATATATACATATGTCCCAAATGTACATTAGCAGAACATTTTAAAAAAAGCTATTTTGATGATTCTTTTTTTTTTAATTCTTGTTTATTTGTGAAATATTAAAAAAAATCTTCCAATCGTACCTTTTCATTCTTTTCCATAGAAATAATAAAACTAGAGCTAATACCAACAGCAGTAATCCTATCAATAATGGTATCAGGTAAGAGACGTTAACTAGAAAGAGAAAATAGAAATTAATAATAAACTAACGTTTTTTTCTGTTGAAAGAGACGTTTTATAATACAGGGTCGATGAATTTAACTGAAATATGATAAATATTTTAAAGGCCGCATTCATTCAACAAGAGGTAGTACTCATACACCGATAGAAAGACTTTCTAGTACTTTTCTAGAAATTTTCATAAAACTATATTTTTATATTAAATGATATTTATGATATTAATACATACATTGTGAACAATCTCTCCCATAATATGCTGTATCACAGACACAAATATAATTATTAATTTCATCGATGCATGATCCGTGCATACATGGTGAACATGAACACTCATCAATTTCTATAATGAAAAGGATATAAGTGAAATTAAATAAACAGATTTTCATTTGTTTTTTTATCCAGTTTCACTCAATCAAAATTATTCAATGTTTTAAAAAAGGGAATGTATGGGAATAAAAGAATACCTGTTTCACACTGGACTCCAGTATATCCAGGTATACACTGACAGGTGTATCCATTGACTTGATCAGTACAGTTACCGTGTATACAGGGAGAACTGGCACATTCATCAATATCTGTATATATAGATGAAAAGAAAATAATGTAAAACATTGCATGCACTTTTTTAAATTTCTGCATCCGAAAAAGGAAGAAAATTTATGTAAAATTATTAAATACAAACCTATCTCACAATTGGTTCCGGTATATCCCGCATAACACTGACATGTGTAGTGATTAATAAGGTCAGAGCAGTTTCCATGAACACAAGGTGAGCTTTGGCATTCATTGATATCTATCAAAGTCAACTTAAACGTTTCAACTAATGATTCACTTAATGTAAATGCTAAATATCATCAAATACAATACATGTATTTTATCTAGATGTAATTAACGTCTTTTTGGACAAATGTAGGAAATGAAAAACATAAAACAATAAAAAAGACACACATTTTTTTCTTATGTTTGATTGAATAAAGAACTCACCTTCTTCACAATGGGTTCCAGAATACCCCGGCGTACAATTACACGTGTATCCATTGATACGATCCGTACAGTTACCATGAACACAAGGAAAACTAGCACACTCGTTAATATCTATAGAGCCATTGATATTTCTATCATGCTGATCTAGAATAATATGTTACAATGCAATTTAAGAATTAAAACATTTAGATCCTCACCTGCCTGGCAGTTTGTTCCTGTAAATCCATCCTGACATTGACAGGTATAATGATTTAGGTGGTCAGAGCAATTTCCATGGATACATGGCGAACTTTGGCACTCATCAATTTCTATCCAAAAATGTTTTAATGCATTTTAATCAGTTCCATCGTTCAATATCATTGTCTCAAAAATAACATCATATACAAATAAGAAAAATAATTGTGAAGGTGCCCAGTAAATTTACAACCAGTCGTAAGTAAGAAAATCTAATCAATGAATTTTGTTACGTTAAAACATCACAGAGATTTTTTTCTATATTTTAAATGTTTTGTTTGGTTGTTTGTTGCTTGACGTCCCTGTAAGGATTTTTTTTCACTTGCTGATGGAAAGCAACAAATTAAGACTCATACTCGACACTCAGGGTTATTGAGCAGTGAGGGATATTTCTTTTCAGCAGCACAACAAGGACACTCGATTTATACGGTCTCATCCATTGGACCGCAGTGGAATTCGAACCAGCGAAGTAAGGATCAACTCCTTCCTCCGCGACTCTAGAGTAAACACTCTAAACGGTGCTCTCCGCGGGCAACTTTCTATTCTGGATATGAAATTTCCAAAATTGACAGATTGATATCTTTCTACGTATTTATTTATTTGTTCCAATACTGCTTGTGGTTGCCCTGAGATTACACATCAATATTAAGGTTTGGAAAAGCGAAATGTTACTACATGTATTTGGATTGTTAAGCAGTCATCAAATATTCGATCCGTTCCTTACTTAGAAGATCATCAAAGTAAACCGAAATTTACTTTCTTTAATTTGACGAAAATTTTAACTGCTTCACTTTAAAAAGTGCTTGTACAGAAATTATGATGATGATAGAATAGCTAATTTATAGCTGGTTACTTTTTTTTTATCACGCCACATTTTATTTCTTATAACACATGTAATTTGCCTTATTTATAATCAGAAAGTTTTACCAAAACCAATAGCATCAAACAGACAACTTTTTGTCATATTTTATGAAATAATTCCCAATGATATATATTGAAACTCAGGCTTTCTCTCTTACATTATAGATGGCTGTTTTTCGACAAAAAGAGCTTTATTTATTTTCATATACCTATTTATTTTTCATTAAAAAATATTTTGTTAAATGATGCTTCAATTTCTGAAGGACAATTTATTTGTAGTTCTTTGAGATCAAGTTTTCCAACAACTTTTTGGATTTCCCATGGGTACATTGTGCAACATTTTAATCGTATTATTTTTGCATTCATATGAAGCAAACTATATTAAAAAATCCATTCATAAAAAGGAAGACAGTTGTGTGGCAATCAACTTGACATTTCGATATATGGCGACGTATATTATTATCCGTTTTTGCAATATAAGAATTCAATGTAGTTTAAAAATCATTTTTGATAAAGAATAATCTCCCTAACTCTTACCAGTTTCACAGTTAACGCCTGTGTATCCACCAAAACAGAAACATTCATAATGAAGGTATTCATTTGAACAGTTTCCGTGAACACAGGGAGAGCTGACACATTCGTCCACCATATCTGTACAAATATTTCAAATTCTTGTGAAAAATAATAAAAAGATAAACAAGTTTTCTATTGCAATGAACACGAGAAATATGTCTTGATACAATTTAAAACTTCCATTTTTATATTTATGTAACCATAATCTGCAATGAGGGCAAAAAATAAAATGGGAGCAAACCTTTCCGTCTGCAGTATTTCTATCCATTTCCTAAATCTGTGAATTTTTCATTTCTTTTCTCTAAAAAACTTTACACTTGTCCTTATCATCATGATTATGTAGACATTTGCAATTAAATACTCACCTGTCTGGCAGTTTGTTCCTGTAAATCCATCCTGACATTGACAGGTATAATGATTTAGGTGGTCAGAGCAATTTCCATGGATGCATGGCGAACTTTGGCACTCATCAATTTCTGGGAAAAACAATTTATTTAAAACATCAGCATATTTACATGTACCTTCTTTAAAAAGATCTCTTGCTTTAAATATAATACACTAGAAATGGAAAATGTGGATAAAGCAGCGAATTTTATGAATCTCAATAGTTTTCCCAAAACACGGCTTCTTGTCCTAGTATTTCGTAAATTGAAACTTTCAGACATTAAAGTCTTAATGATTTCTTATCTTAATGCGTCAATAAATGCAGAGAAAGGAATCCAACAAAATTCACTATAATCAATTCTAGTTTACTGTTATACTTTATTATGTATAACAATGACACTTTACTTTGGCTCAAATATACCTATTTACTTTAATACGTTTTTAGTGAACAATATTTAATATTTTCATATTTCACAACTGTAATAGTACGTTCTCGAAAACTTTCAAGTGATATTTTACTTTAATAAATTCCTCAATACATTTTTAATATGATACATGTTATGATATTGTAAAATTATAATGCTTTGTCGAAGTTCATTCCTTAACGGTTTGAAACATAACTATGGTACATTTTTTTAATACTCTGATGCTTCACTTTGATATCTTCTGATATTTTGCATCTTTATTGTGTGTTCATTGGAAGTTTGCTGATTATTGTTGATAATATCTGAAGAACTCGGCACTTGAAATAACGTGTAAATCTATCCAATTCTTACCATTTTCACAGTTTACACCCGTGTATCCAGGATCACAGATACATTCATAGTGAAGGTATTCAATGGAACAGTTTCCGTGAACACAGGGAGAACTGGCACATTCGTCAACGGTATCTGCAAGGTTATTGCTATATACGTGAACAAGATTTTTTTTCTTGAACAATAGGATTATATAAGAAGTTTTCGTAAGGATAAACGAAAAACAAACCTGCATTGGTTATTTTTGCTTGATCCACTCTAAACACAAACTGTCCAGAAATATTAATATTAGACATTTGAGGAAGATTTAATACTGCGTCTGTCCTTGAACCATTCACTGAATAATAATGTTCTCCATCACCAGCGTTAAACCCCACCTTATAGAGGACACAATATATAATTTGTTAGATTACTAGTAAATTTAACAAATACATGTATATCATAATACGCCTTAAGTTTAAACTATATTGCGTCATGATTTTCTCATAAAATGTTTTGTTACCTGAGCAGATTTTGTCCAAGTGATTTTGTTGTAATTAAATACAACAAATGAATAAACACCATTGTTGATTAAAACAAGTTGAAATGTATTCCGCTGTCAAAATAGCAAATAAAGTCATATATAATTCAATGAAAGATATTTTATGTAAATGAAGCACCAAACAATATTTTTACGAATCGTTTTGCAATTTATAACAATGAAGTTTTTGAAAAGGAAATTGACATTACTGTTTATAGTTCAATAATCTCCGTATTCATATAACTTTGTTACCTGTTGACAGCTTATTGTTCCACTGGTGGAACAACGATATGCAGCTACATCCTTCCATGTAATTACCATCATCCACGTGGCATTGAAAGGTACAATATCAGGAAAGAGAGTGTTAATTTTATTCGTTCCTCTTTGCAATATAGTTCTGTCTGTTGTTGTGCGATACCACAATTTACCCCCGTATCTTGTATCTATATCAGTCCAGAATGGTGCTATGATTCTATGAGAGCCATTTATTGGGAAGGGTTGTGAGGTATACTGCCTTAATGGAGTCTCAAATGTAACGTCGCCATTGTTATTCACCTAATGATTTAGAAAAGCTTATATAAGTTAATATTTAAAAAAAAATATTTAAAAAAAAAACAAAATTAATAAGATAAGAAAATTAAATTAAAAAGAAAAAGAATGACTGCACTTAGGGACGTTATTTGGAACCTTTTCGGCTACCCATTTGAAGCTTAACATTACAATAAATCGCTGAATTAATCTATGATTAATGTGCAAGCAGTTGCTTTTGACATTTATTTCTATAATTTTTCGTCATACATATTTCAATAATTACATACAACGCTATTGAAAAGAACATGTTTAACCCATAAATTCCGGAAAATTGAACTGGACCGCTTTCGATTTTAAGGTCGCAGCAAAGGGGCGGAGACATTTAAATCGCATAGAAATGGATCATAAGCGCATGGTTTTCCGTATTTGATTTATATTATAGATATATTAAAAAAAAGACCGAGAAGAGGGTTTTGTGTTCATTTTGTACAAAAAATAAATGATTTATAACCATGCATATAATTTCATTAATTTGTATCCACGTATGTAAGTAGAGTAAGTAAGTAAAGAGCAGAATATTAAGAGAAAAAAAAATTATAAAAATAAACACAATTGTGATAAATATATGCATGCGTTTTGTACGCTTAGGTTGGTAGTGTCTGTTTTGAGAATTATTGGTCGATGAAAATGACACTGAAATACATTTTGTTTTCTGAACATAATGGGCTGTCTTCGCATAAATGAAAAATAATTTGCAACCTGTCTATAGGATAATCTGAAATAAGTACACACAGTAAATCCATATATGACCTTGCCATTTGATTATTGGCAGAGTTAATTTTCAAAAAAAGTTTTGATCGGTATTCAGAGTACAAAGGACAATGCATTTGAAAAAATGAATTTCGGCTTCTACATTATCAAGCACTGCATAATTTTCTCTATCTAACGTTCTTATAAAATTGGAATGCTTAAAATTTCACTGCTCATGTATTATTTGCTGTCAAGCAGCGAATTAACTAAATCTTAAAATTATTAAGTGTTTGTACCTACAGTGTATTAAAAAAAATGACATTTTCACTTTATCTTAATCGTATTGAATAATAATTGTGGACTTATTAGTAACGTAAAAATAAAAAGTTTTTTTTTAATGATGACTGTGGGCTTCTACCCTGACCTAAAACTGGTCGGGCTCCCGTTTTCAAATTTCTGGATCCGCCACTGCTATATGTACAGCATGTAATCAGCAAAATAATACCTTTTTCCTTTAAAATACCCCGAACAAAAACACTATTGTGAAAGAAATCAACTTAAACTTTAAAACGCTAATAAAATGTACGCAAGGATCTTCAATATTTTGAAGATTGAAATACATGTAGATATGAAAAGAATTTTCCAACGACTGACACAATGAAAGCGTGTCGAACACTTGAATGTCACGTGAGAAAAGTGATTATAATATCAAAGGGGTCACATGGGCTGAAACTCGTAACCTGCTAATTTAGAAGCTATCTCGAGCGAAGTTTGGGTACATTTTTTTAAAAATTAGATATGAGCCGCAACTTGACCCACATTGTCCTTCGGATATGTATAAGTTTTAGTTAAAATACACATTCTGTGCAAATGAGAAAAATGGTCAAGTTGCGGCTCGATGTAAACAATGTCGTTGAAAACTGGTATGCATATGAATAACAATAGAAATGAGACAAAACTGTTAGACCCCTGTTTCAAAAGCTAGTGTCGCTCGGCATTATTTAATACTTTCATGTATTATAATAAACCAAAACCTGCTCTTACGATATTGTTTAATACCTATAAAACATAAATTTAATGAATTTTGGAATTTTATTTTGCGCAAATCATTGGGATCCAACTCTCATAGCTTAAGTGCAGTCATTCTTTGCCCTTCTTTCAAAAGAAACATTAAAAAAAGGAATGAAAAACAGACAAATAAAGCTAAAAAACACAATAATTTAAATGAAAAATAAATTTTCCAAAATTTTTCAAAAGTACGTATACTTTATTTTTACAAACGAACATTCATGTAGAATTAATAATTGAATTTTACTTACGTAAATTGAGGTGTATGAGGAACCAAAGAAAGGAAAAGACACACTTATTGGAATACTAGAAGTGTAGTTGTCGTCATTAGCTGGCAATTCGCTGTCTCCGGCCGCTAAACCATAACTATAGAACTGACTCAGAGGGTAGCAGATACAAATGTTAAGCATTGCTGATACTATTACTACAATCAAAGTTGTATAAGTCATTGTTGAAGATAGTTTTGAACGAATATGGCACTAGATTTTCGTTACTTTTATATAGAAAAATCAGGAAAGTCTGCAACGAGGAAGACTTGTTGAACAACCAATGCTATTGGGTTTACAGCAATGTTACATTAATTACAGCAAACAAAAACGATTTTTTTCACCATATTTCCTTTTAGAGGGGCGAAATAAACTTCTTAGTTTTGATAAAGAATATTTTCATGTCTAAAACTGTCCCTCTTGTCATAGCTTCAATTGGTACCGTGTATATATCGTTGATTTTATAGCATGGAGTGCAGAGAGTATGATAGATTATTAATAGGAAAATAAATCGTTATAAAACCTGCACAGCTGTCAAGTCAAGATAACCTTCTAAATCGATTGCCAAATTAACACGTATTTTAGCCATATATTATTTAAACAAGAAAGTGCTTTCTTTGTTTGTTATTACTGGAATTAACGGAAGCAGCTGTTGCAGAAAAAATACATAACCCGTGTAAGCGGGTTATGTAACTTTTTTCTGCAATAGCTGGGACCGTTAATTCCAGTAATAACAAACAAAGAAAGACATTTTATTGTCTATATTTATATCTGTTTAAATAATTATTTAAATTACAATTAAAAAGATTAATTATTGTATTAATGATGCGAACGTCTTTATAAGTTTCATTGATGAAACAGCCACTGGTCAAGAAATTTGTACAGGCGACATACCTAATGTAGTTCTTAACGTAAATGTAGTGATTAACGCAATTGGGTTTTTTAAAGAAATAAAGGAGAAAATATTCAGTGGATGTAAATATATATATTTAAAAATTGTACTGTTTCACCTAATTCACCTAATTCATATTTGTATATATCATTATATGTATCACATAAAACCTTTTTTAATATATCGAATATTAAAATATCCATTGTATATAATGTTTAAAGAACAAGGTACAGTTTCAATACAAATAAAGCCCGGTATATCTCTAAAATATGAAAATGATACAAGAATTTAAAATTTATTCTTTCTGGATTATAGGAGTTCCATGCGCAAAGAATACACAAATCATTTTTCTTATTTGACCTCCTGAATGCTAATTGTGACGTCATTAACGTGTGCATTTTCCCGTATTTTCGTCAAAAGTTGTAGAAGACATCAATTTTCAGTGGAATGTTCTTTCAGAAAACATACTCTGCCACTGTCGCTCACAAAGATTTAAAGATATGTGATTTTTCAGAGCATTTTACATAATATATTCAAAATCCGAAGTGGGCGACAGTGGCAGGCACTATTTTCTAAAGGAAAATTAGCATGGAAATGAGTCATTCTGAGGCTTTTCTGCATTAAACTTAGAAATGTAACAAATTAATGACGTCATTTTTCCAGAATGGTCCTCCTTCATACCATATTAATTAATAATTTATCATATTCATATACTCAACTAGTTTTAAAGCCAATTTCATAACTTTCTAAGAATATCAAATTTTTTGGGCGCGATCAAGCCCAAACTGTAACTTCTTCTTTTTCGGTTCATATAATTGTATGGTTAAAATATTATAGGAAACAAACACGTTTTACGTAACGCTTTGTTTGTTATTATATACCTGTGAGTATTTTAATTTAACGAGGCCGAGTCTAATTATTTCTGCCCTAGGGATTTTGATAATTTTTTGATAATTAATTTCTACTGTTATAATTATTGTTTACGAATTAAAAAAAACAAATGTTTACCACCCGATTTCTTGGGGGCCATCTTAAATGTTGTCAAACTTTACTATTGGACCCTATGGGAATTTGTTGGAAAATTGCCAAATTATTACATTTTTTCTATATTTTTTGTACTTCTGCCCTAGGGATTTCTTTTTCATTCAATTGAATGAAAGTAAATGTAAAAAGTCACCAAATTGTGAGATTTCAAAAAAGTTCACCATCTCCTTTGGTCCAGATAGTAATTATTAAATTTATTTTTCAAAGCTATATACATCTAAAATTGCCATATTACGGTATAAATACATATTTTTGCTGATGAATTATCGGTGCATACAATTTTTTCGGCATAAATAGCAATTTTTAGATTGCTAGTATGTTTCTTGATGAAGTTATGTCATCAGCTTTTAGTATAATACCCATGGACGTCTTGAACATACAAGCGAGTCATGCGTCATTCTTCAACGTCATGCATTGCTTACAAAATCCGAAAATGGTGACGTTGTTAGAGTCATTTCAACGTTCTTTTTCCAATAATTGTCGTAAAATCACATTTTCAGATCAGTAGGAGTTACAGATAATGTTAATTTTGTATTGAAATTAATATAATTCTCAAAGGTGAACTGTCACACATATGACAGCATGAAATTAAAAAGCTGCGCAAAGTGATGCGCACTCGAATTAGACTCGGCCTCGTTAAAAATACGTACGCGTACACGAGTTTCCTGATAAATAGTGTTCGCCAATATTATTTTGAGGTTTAAACTAAAATCAAAGCATCATAAAATATACGCTTATTTTTCAGACAATATTTTCAAGTAAGATTGATTGATTGATTGTCAATTGTTCAACGTCCCTCTCGAGAATTTTTCACTCATATGGAAACGTCACCGTATGCCGGTGAAGGGCTTCAAATTTTGACCTTTACTCGGCACTCAGGGCCATTGAGCAGTGAGGGATCTTTATTGTGCCAACGCTGACACGGGGCCTCGGTTTTTAAGGTCTCATCCGAAGGACCCGCAACTTTCACTTCAAAGTGATGAGCGCATGGCGAAGGAACAGTTGCTACCCATTTTATCGACTGGGTCAGTCGCGATCGAGATACGAACTCACGACCTCCCGATCACGGAGCGAGCGCTCTACCGACTGAGCTACCGTGAACGGTATATTCAAGTAAGAAAAGATAATACGTGAACACACAACATAGAGCGTGTTTTATAATTAATAGTGTTTACTTATATTATTTTGTGATTTTAACTAAAATTAAGGCATCATAAAATGTACACTCATCTTCCATACAATAAAATATACATTTATCTTCCATACAATATATTCAAGGTAGAAACGGTTATGTAACGAGTAAACATTACAACAGCTATTGTTTTAAGGAATATTTCAGGGTTTAAGGTATCGAAATTACCGTCAATTTAATATCGCCGGGAGTCGTAGAATAATTGGTCTGGAATGCATTTCTACGGTCGAAAAATGACCCTACTTGCCGTAGAATATTGACCCTGGGTCATTTTCCTACGTAGAAAAATGAGCCCCTGGTCAATATTTTACGGGGGTCACTTTTTACACGTTTTACACGTTTACTCGTTACACAGGCAGTGTAATGTCGTAATGTGTAACAAGAGATGCTTGTAAAACACCTACCCCCCCCCCCCTGAAATTTTTCAAAGTCCAAAAGGGAATAACTCTGTTAAAAATGGCCAGATTGTATCCAAAACAGAATTGAGCTAGATATTTATCTGATAAATCTGTATACTAGATTTCATTTCTGTATGTGCAACCTCTGCGAAGAAAATGAAGATAAACTGCAAATAATTGAAATTATTCTACGTCCTAGGGGCATAACTCTGTCAAAAATGGCGCGATCGTACCCAGAACAGAACTTGAGCTAGATATTTATCTGTTAAATATAGATATTTATCTGATAAATCTGTATACTAGATTTCATTTCAGTAAGTGCAACCTCTGCTAACGACCGATCTTATTGAGATCAATTGTACCTGCAACAAACAACTATTATCCGAAATGAAGTTTTAAACAGTTTTAACAGAATATGCAAGTTCTGTGAGCTAGCAAATATATGTCTCCTGCATAATTACGTAAAGAGAAATAAACGAATTTGAGCAAGAAATAAGAATAAATATTTAAGGTAATGAACAATACAAAAGAAGCTAAGTTCGACCAGTTTTTAATTGATCTGTTGGGGACTGAAAAGAGCCGACGAAAAGATGAGTTGGTATTAATATTTTATGTCCATCATAAATGATACGGGTTTTAAAGTACATGAACTGCAACCTATTGGAATTTTATTTTAAGCTTAAGCACGTCATAGTGTACATTATTCATGCAACAAATTATCCACAAATAGTGTTTTAAAATATGATAATTGATTTGGGTGCAAGAATGAAACAGGGTATAGCCTAGGGAAGAAATGGAATTGCCTTAAAATACCTCAAGTTCGACGTTGTGAGGTTATATGTTACTTGAGAAAAAGAAAACTAATAGAAGGAAATGAATGTGACAGTATACATTGGATAATTTCTTCTATGCAATTACTATAGCAATAAGAAAATAGGAGGGGAATGAACATCTAGAATTACTGTATTATTTAGACAGCGTCAAGAATGTACAATGTATATAAGGCTAATGTTCTCTTAATTGTTAGGCTGATATCAATATTTATATTAAGGGTTAATAATCATAACAATGACTGTGAATCAAAAAATGAATAAAATCAGATTAAATAGCTATGGTTACATGATAAAGTGGGCCTGAAATAGTGTGAACGTGTGATCCTACACTCACTAGTTCCTATATTCAACCCGAGATAGAAAGGCCCATGGCAAAACCTCCACCCAGTAACACTAAACACCGTAATTATCCGCAGACCCAATGTCCTGATATGCTTATCTCGGGCTTCAAAAGGGCTTCCTGGCGACTGTTGAATATATTATCAATTATTTTTGGAAGTTCATTTGTTTCATTTGTTCTAAATGAGTGATTTATGTTTGTTTATACAATAATGTCCCAACTATGTCATCTGTATGATCCCAAAAATTTCATTTTTTTTTCAAAATATATCTTGAAAAGATAAGTTGTAATAAATGTATTACAAGACTGTGCATATACATGTGCATGAGACGTCAATACTTTTTCAAAAACGTTTTACAAGAAAGCATATTTTTTTTCTTCAAAATTTGAAAGACTGAAATTGATTGCTTGCAACAATATGATTGGATCTGTTTAATAACTGGAAAAAAAATCTTGCGAGTTTGATATCATTATTGCTAATCAT